GAACCGATTTTGATGATTCTTCCTTTATCGAAAAGCTGGTGCTTTTTGTGTGGTCCCATATAAATTCAATCAGGATCTAATCACTAGTTTTCGAGTTATCTTTATAATGCGTATTCAATTGACTTCGAATACGTTGATAATGTTCTCATTTTAATTATATTGAAGTCGGTTGTACAACATTTTTCATTTAACACTTGTTATTTGTTACCATTTCATCTAAATCAGGGCTGCGTATACAAGTCGCGAGCTGTAGTTACAGTTATAACACTTCCTACATTAGATATACAAGTAACTATTTATATTTTTGACCTATTCCTCGAAGTAATCAAATTTAATTCATTTTAGACGCCATCGCGTCGTTACAAAGTGTAATTGGGTAATAAGCATAACATTGCACGGCGCGGCAATAGAGCTCTTGCCAATGCTGCCTGGAACAATGTCTCTACGTGCAGTACACCCACATCGCTTATGCTGAATGATGCACGCTCAGATTATCGTGCCCAAAGCACACACCTGGCCTGCATTCTAATTTCCATTTCCAGCGAACTTTTAAAGGCTTCTTTCGACTAGAAAAAAACAGTAGTGAAAATAAATCATTCCCTGCTCATTGTACGATAGGTAATTTCAAATTAATATTGCATTGGAAAATCAGACATGCATGGCAAGCGGGTTGGCAACTGGAGTTTTTTATTGTTCTGAGTTTTATCAGGAACATGCTGCTGCTCATCCCGTTTCATTTTCTTCTATCTCCCGCGGGACGATAGAGGGTAGTGGATAGTGGCCAGTACACGGTATAGAAATTTTAGGGATAGTATTATGTATTTAAAAATATTTTGTTATTTGTTGTGAAAGCAGGTCACTTTAGTAAGTTTAAAATTACCTCAGGTGTGTGTTTTGGCAAAATGCCGCGTTAGTCGTTATATGCGAGGTTTTTAGGAGCGATCTATTGTTATTAAAAGTGTCAACTTGTTAAAGTGTTTGTTTTAAAAAAAGGAGTAGATACTTGATGAATCTCCCTACAATAACCACATAAATGCGAAATAATTATTAATGACATGCATCTCCTCATAAAGTAAGAATTATTTTATTTTGCGGTTGACACTAATGGATAGCTATCATTGATCTAATTAATGTTTTCAAAGGACTAAAATTCAATTTTATGAAAAAAAATATTTTTAAATTTAAATCTTAAGCCATATGTTGTAGCGGGAGCGCGTGGAGTGTAGAAGCGTAGGCGGACCGAATGCTGAAAGTCGTTCGCTGGGAGTAGCGCCTTGACTTAGTAGCTGCTGAACTTAACTGAGAACGTATATCTGTGAATTTCTTTCAGGAGTTCTTTTTTCTAAAAGTAAACCGACAAACGAACTTAGAGTCCGCCTGATGGTGAGTGGCGGCTGCAGCTCATGCACACCTGCATCAAACTTCAAACAAAGAAGGGCACAGGTGCGTTGTCACCTCTGAAGAAATAGATGGAATTTTTCAGAGCCTATAACTATACTGGCTCTCTATATCCTTCAAACTGCAACACAGGAGTGCAGGGTTGCTACATGGCGGTTGGTTCAGAAACAGGTAAGGGCGTGGTACCCATAATAATGGTAATGGTGTAGTACCTACAATCAAGTACTATTTTTTTTAAATAAAATAAGTGTGACAAACGAGCACACAGTCCACCTGATGGTAATTGGATGCTGTAGCCCATAGAAATCTACACTTATCCTCGATTAAGAATCAAAACGCAGATGCGTTGTCACCCGCGAGTTCTAAGATGGGATGCCTCGTTTCTAGTAAAAAAAGGGTCTCCGGATCTCTACACTCATCATAAGAAACACAGCAGCATTGAGCTGCTATTTTACGCTGGTATTCTGTGAGAGCGTGGTCCTTTCCCGTTCGAGCCGATCGCTTCGTGCTACAACTATAATGTAGCTGTAATTGTGTGTGTGTTACAGGAGCCACGTGCTTCCTCGGTGGTCTCTAGTATCAGACAGCCGACTTTATACCAAGTTAATGCGGACAATAATTCTAAGTAATAATAAAATATGTACATTCTAAGTAAACGTAGATAAGAATGTGTTGGTGTGCTGAGTTGAGGGAAGAAAATTTACGAATCGTTTATTTTTGAGATCATTTTAAAGAGGGATGTTTTTTCTTAATTGATTTAACTATGGGACTTCATATATATATTATATATATATATATATATATATATATATATATATATATATATAATTTAATTTAATTTTAACAACTAGAATGTTGTCTAAATAGTTTTAATAAACACACTAGCTTTTTATCCGTGGTTTCGCTCTCGTGGGATTTAATTTAGGAACATCACCAAAATTACCAAAATTGGATCACTTGTGGAGTCACCTCGGTATATTTGTCGATATTGGACGTAAATGATTGAAATTTGACTATATAATATGCTACAGAAACACATAAGCGAGCTTATCAAAATAGCATTAATATCATATGTCTAACAACAATTTTTTTTTACATCGGGAAATTTTTCAGAGTTTGAAATCGCTTTACATTATATAATTTAAAAAAGCAAATTTTGAGAATTGTAAAGGACATTACGAACTAAGCCATAATTTGTAAATTATATTAAAAGTAGAAAAGTTAAATAAAATAAATTTACGTGCAACTTGCACGTATGTGGAATTAAAATTTTCCGCCAAAAACATACTGGATCAGTGCGGCGGGTAATTTTTTTTAAAACTGAAGAGGCCCATAAATACCTGTTGGCATTTTCAAACAAAAAAAACTACGACGCGTTGTCACCTCTGAGGACTAAGATGGAATGCCTCAAAGTATGTTGTCAAACTGACTCTCTATTTCCTATAATACAGAAATCAACAGTACACTATTATTTGATAGCAGAAATAATCAACCACTATACAAAAAAGCGACCAGAGACCGATAAAGTTTATTAGAGCATTTTATTTGCACTTTAGTCTTATGATTTAATTTTCACGATAAACCTACATTTTTTTATGGGATAAGGGTGACAAAGAGCACACAGTCCACCTGATGGTAAATGGTTACTGCGGTCCATAGACATCTACATCAATCGTCAATCACGAAACATAATGCAGACGCGTTTTCACCCGTGAGGATGACAACGCGTCTGCATTCTGATGCAATGCCTCTTCTCCAGTGAAAATGGTCTCCGGATCACTACACTCACCATACAAAGCACAGCAGCATTAAGCTGCTATTTACGCTAGTATTCTGTGAGAGTGTGGTCCTTCCCCGGTCGAGCCGACCCATTCGTGCTACAACTAAACTACTAATATAACTGCAACATGGCTCTACCACGTACGAACCATATTAAAGTAATTTTCCGTTTTATGGTAGGTATGTATGTACCTAATCTTTCCTGTTTATTTGGTTCTGCATTAAACCTAATCAAATTACTAGACTTTATTGTACTGTAAATTCATCTTCTTAAAAAGTAACATTTATGTAAATAAATAAAAAAATATAATTTACAAATTATGGCTTAGTTCGTAATGTCCTTTACAATTCTCAAAATTTGCTTTTTTAAATTATATAATGTAAAGCGATTTCAAATTCTGAAAAAATTTCCCGATGTAAAAAAAAATTGTTGTTAGACATATGATATTAATGCTATTTTGATAAGCTCACTTATGTGTTTCTGTAGCATATTATATGGTCAAATTTCAATCATTTACGTCCAATATCGACAAATATACCGAGGTGACTCTACAAGTGATCCCATTTTGGTAATTTTGGTGATGTTTCTAAATTAAATCCCACACGAGCGAAACCACGGATAAAAAGCTAGTGTGTTTATTAAAACTATTTAGACAACATTCTAGTTGTTACTTAGAAATGGTGACGTTATTTAGTCCACCTAAGTAGGGTCAAAAAATGCAATTTCGAGCCTGAGAAGTGAGAACAAACGAAATGAAATAATTTCACATTCTGAAGTCAATAATAGTGATGTTATAAAATTATTTTATTGCTTTTAAAACGTTGAAGTCGGCTTCTACTTTTTATTGAAAGTAAAATTTATGTATTCATTTTCTAAATTTAAAAAAAATTATTCAAACATAGCACGTAAAAACCTGGCATATAAAAGCTTGAATGAATTCTTTTTCTATTTGCTCAGATTTGTTGTGTTGTAAAAAATCACTATAAAAGAGGTTAAAAAGTTAAAACGGTACATTACTTCGCGACAAGGAATACTCTTCCGCTCACCTATCTAATATCAGGTTAAATATATTTTAAATATAGTTTGTGGTTAACTCTAAAGGAACTATACGACCCTTTATAGACATCACTGTGTAATAGCATTCGGGTTGTAGGAAAATATTATTATAGAATTCGATATGTTTATTACTTTAATTTTTACTATTTTAAACGTTAATACCAATGTTATCAAAACACGGATTTACTTATTTTCATGAGAACATTAATTAAAAAGAAATTTGATTTAAATATTTATGAAATTATTTCTATGAAAGTTTAAAAAAGATTAAAAACATTAATTTTAAAACTTTTGTTAACTGATTTATTAATAAATTATTTTTTACAAAATAATATTATTGAGTATAATATTAGTAAGGAAACAATAATATTATAAAGTAAGCAAACACTTTCATGAAAAAAGGAAATTTTAAATTAAATTGAGTATATTTGCTAATATGTATACTCAAAGGACTAAGTTTCGGAATCAATAAGTAACATAGGAATATATTTTATCTTTTCCATTTATGAGAAAGTATATTTAACGAATATTTTTCTTTAAAAAAATATAAAGTTTTATATTTTTTCGTAAATATATATAAATAATTTCATCAATACAAGAGATCCAATTTGGGTAAGTTCCTGGAATAAAAATGCAAGTTCCAAAAGTCTTAGAAAATATTTTCAACTACTTTTTTATTTTGTTAAGTTTTTTTTTAAAGTCGAAACGGAAGCTTCGTACTGCTTTTAATAATACAGCTGTAATAAAAAGAAGAGACGTGACTCACCATTTTGTCTTGAATATATTCTTTATTACGTAGAGTGTAAGAGCGAGTGTGGCGTGGCGAGTTCGCAAGGCAACGCACCGGGCCGGACTGTGGGGAAATTGGGACTCCACTTGCTTTTATATCGGGTAGCAGACGCGCAGAGATTATTCTGAATACTGCTTACGATCTAGCTTTGCATGTAATTAGTGCAACATTAGATGAATTAACATAATTTAAGATGATGGCAAGCTAAGATGTTTTTCAAGTATCGTGAGTCCTTTATTAGGGCACAAAATTATTTTTTCGTTTTACGTTAGGAAGAACATTATGAATTTGTAGTAGTAATATTATCAACTTTTTCTGGGACTTTAAGAATCATACGAATAAGACTTTTATCCTCTCTAAAACACATCAGACGCGAAATTTATTATTCATCATTTAAACTTAAGTATGGTTTCAATTTTTTTAATAAAACTAACTAAATATTATAAGATAATGTAAGTAATAAATATGAAATACAATCATGATTAGATCGTTAACAGTACACTGTGTGCATATACATTTACTAGGTAAGTTTATAGCCAAAGAATAGCTCACTAAGTAAAACTGAAAGCATTTTGATGGACTCGATCAGTTTGTATTTATTTTGGTAGCGATTCGAAACGATATCGCGCCATAAAAAAGGATTCGAACAAGAATAAGCCCGTTGATTCATGCAAGTGTTGTAGTGTGTCCAGATGTTCTTTTTTATGTAGGCCAATTTTTTTAATATATGTGTGCTATGTTTGTTCAGCCCAGAAGGCACGAGTGGAAAAAGCGGGTTGAGTAGTGGAGTAAATAACTTGTAGAGAGTCAAGAAAGTGCTCGCTGGAAAGAGCGCAGTACAAGTACTGCGCGCATCTCTTGAGATTCGTCCCGTCTAACCGCGAGGTTGGTGCGACCATGGGAAGATAGAAATTATAATTATATAGACTCGGGTCTTGTTCGCCTGTAATGACTAAATAAGTTTCATGACTAGCAAAACGTCCAAAAATTAAACTAAACCTTTATGGATTATTTCCGGAAAACTATTTGAAAATTTGTAACAGCGGTGCCAATAAATAGCGTATCAAAAAATAAAGCTGTAACTTCAAAATTACATTATGGGAATTATTATATTATTTTTAGTATTTGTCCGATATATTTTTTTACCGTTACAGCCTATTAAAGTCTACCACTGAACATCGGCCTTCCCCATAGATTACCTTATGGTGGGAAAATTTACCATAGTTGCCACAATGGCAAGCGGGTTGGCAATCACAATTTTTTATTTTTAGTCGTTATTACGTTACGCTGCTGTCACCCACGGGATGATATGTGATAGTGGCTATTCTTACAATAGTGGCATTGTACACGGTACACGGTAATTTTTTTTATTATAGAGTATTTATTTTACCCTTTTAAGTGATCTGTAGAATATAGAAAGTTCTAAATAAAAACTAAAATAATATACTCTAAAATATACTCTAGGCTGCTTCTAAGAAATTCTTGACAGAAAATACTTATAACTTATTTTGACCCCACCCAGGAAATCCCTTATATTCATTTATTTATTCAATACGAATCATCAAAAGCTTTATCGGCTTTATTCTTTTACTGTTCACACTCTGCTACACTACTCAGAAACTCCTTACCTGAAGATATTAGGATAGCAAATTTTGAGTTATCCTTAATAATGCGTATTTAATTTACGACGACGTATTATACAGGTTGGCCCATAAGGTATTAATAGGTAGGCCCATTTTAAATGGTACATAAAATTTTTCATACTTTTCTTTCACCTTTAGGAATGGAATTTTTGATTAATGAGATTACCGATTATACGATTCACAAACCAAAAAGTTATGCCAGAACATATATAAATAACCAGGTGAATTGAAAAGCTTCTCACTTTTTGAAGTTAATTATGGTTACCCTAAACAGGGGATGAGATGAATGTACCTATATAAAGGGGATGTAGACATCTGTGGACTGTGACCTTGACCCAAACCGATTACGTTTGTTTTGATTCGCATCGACTTTTTATACTTCGTCTACGATTTTTAAACTTAAAAACTGCAGCCTTGTTTGCATAGATGTCTTTGTGATACGATAGCTCTTCATCGGTCAATCAAATAATTAGGGACCGAAAGGGCACTGCTTTATTGACGCCATTTTGACAGTTGACCAACAACAGAGACCAACAACCAGTGACCATCACTTTTCTAAGGGTAAGTTTTCGTTTAGGGCAATATTTAGGTGCTGAACCATGATCTAACCAACTTGCTGAGCGTTTTAAATTGTCACACAGAATTCATTTTTCGTCCCAGGTAACAATGCAGTTCAAAATTCCTTCGTTTGCATGCCTGTTGAGCAGCGCAAGGCACGTCTCGACTCGTACTTCTCGCTGGCGAACATTGAGTTCGTGGAGCACCATTTGTAAACCTTATTTACCTTTGATTATATATTTACTAGATATTTGACGCAAATGAACCAATTTTGATTTGATGCTGACGTCGAAAGCTGCGACCAATTCAACCGTAGATTAAGTATCATCAGCTTCCACAATCGCTTTTAATTTCTCGAATGGTAACGGGTAAACCAATAAAAGGTGGTGCGTTCGTTTGTAGTATTCGCTCCTTAAACGTCACTGATGTTGCGTGCCTCTTGCCCTTGTGCCGCGTTGCTGCCACGCCGGTTCTAATAGTCTATGATTTCTCGAATTTTGAGCATACCCATGAAGATGAAAAAGATTCAGATGCGATGAAAATATAACGCTAATCAATAAACAAATGACCTATTTTGAAAAAAGAGTTACATGTTTTAAAATGAAGTTAATTTGAAAATTAGAATACTTAGCTAAACAAAATTTATTTTGATTTGAAATGGTCAATTGTGGGGAACGACAATATCATAGGTAAAGACCTATTATTAACTGTGTACCTTGTTAATTTAAGGAAAAACTGTAATAGTCATTAGACCGCTTAATATTAAATGTGTTTTTTTTTATAGAAGAGGGGGCAAACGAGCATGCGGCTCACCTGATGTTAAGTGACTACCGCCGCCCATGATCAACTGCAACACCAGGGGAATTGCAGGCGCATTGCCGGCCCTTTAGAAAGGAGTAAGCTCTTTTCTTGAAGGTCCCCAGGTCGTATCGGTCCGAAAAAATCGATGGTGGTAAACTATTCCACAGAGAGGTTGTACGCGGAAGAAAACTCCTCTTGAAACGTACAGTGGTGGACCGCCAATCATCCAGATGGTGTGGATGGTATCGGGACGTTTGCCGCGTAGTGCGTTCACGAAATTTGGCGGCTGGGATTAATCCGAACAATTCCTCAGAGCACTCTCCAGGGTACATGCGAAAGGAAATGCAAAGAGATGCAATATCTCTTCACAGTGCCAGTAAATCGGGCCGATCGGAAAGCACTCGGTCGTCGACGATTCGAGCCGCTCTGCGCTGGATGCGGTCAAGTGGAAGGAGCTGGTACTGGGGAGCCCCAGCCCAGAGATGGGAACAGTATTCCATGTGCGGCCGAACCTGCGCCTTGTAAAGTTGCAGGCGGTGTGCCGGCATGAAATACTGTCCCGCTCTGCTGGGCACGCCAAGCTTTTTAGAGGCCAATTTGGCCTTCTCTTCCAAGTGACCACGAAACTGCACGTCACTCGATATGTCGACGCCGAGGATTTCGATACTGGCTGAGGCAACAAGGGGAGTGCCTTGAAACTGAGGAGATACAACAAAGGGGTTCTTTTTAGCGGTTAACGCGCAAACTTGTGTCTTCTGGGGGTTAAACTGGACTAGATTTAGTCGCCCCCAATCCGAGACTCTGTTCAGCAAAGACACGACTTCAGACACAAGATTTGTCCCAGTATTCGGAGACATTTTCCCGAGAAATATTGGCTCGGCCGGTGTAAAGAGCATCACCAGTGCTGTCATCTGCATAGCAATGAATGTTACGGGTTTGCAACATATCATTTTGCAGAAGAAACAGCGTTGGCGATAGCACGCAGCCTTGTGGAACACCAGCGTTAATAGGCTTGCAATCGGAGCTTGCACCGTCTACAACGACCTTGATGCCCCGATCTGCAAGAAAGCTGGTGATCCAATCGCACAATTTCTCGGGAAGCCCATAGGAAGGGAGCTTCGAAAGAAGCGCTTTGTGCCAAACCCGATCGAAGGCCTTCGCAATGTCGAAACAAACGGCCAATGCGTCCCCTTTGGACTCTACTGCCTCCGCCCATCTGTGAGTTAGGTAGACCAGAAGATCACCAGCTGACCGACCACGGCGAAAACCGCATTGGTGGTCACTAATCAGCTGGTGATCCTCAAGGTACCTCATGAGCTGGCAGTTTACAATGGACTCCATTGTTTTGGAGAACAAGAAGGTGATGGCGATAGGCCGGTAGTTGGACGGGTCTGAGCGGTCGCCTTTTTTTAGGGATCGGGTGGACGAAAGCCGTCTTCCATGATTTTGGGACTACGCCTAGGGACTAGGAGTACCGGAAAAGACGCGTTAAAACCGGTGCCAACTCTGGAGCACACGTCCTCAGCACAATTGGGGGGATTCCGTCAGGCCAACTCGACTTGTGAATGTCCAGGGAGAACCGAACTTTGCGAACCGAGCGCTGTGTGAACTGCACTTCCGGCATGGAGCACTCACACCGCGGGATGGTCGGCGGCGTACTCCCCCCGTCATCGAGGGTCGAGTTGGACGCAAAGAAAGAGCCTAGAAGATCGGCTTTCTCCTTTGCGGTATGGGCCAGTGAGTCGTCCTCCCTGTGCAGAGATGGAAGAGATGGCTGACAGAAATTCCCCTGGACAGCCTTGGCGAGTGACCAGAATGCAAGGGTTCCAGAAGGAAGGCGAACTAGTTTCTCGCCAATTCTGCCTATGTGCTTTGACTTTGCCTTGGCAATGACTCTTTTGAAGGACCTAGAGGTGGAATTATACTTCTTTTTTAGAGCGCTGGTGTTTACATCCCGGGACGCTGATGCGTCAGCCC